CCAAAGGCTGCAGCAGATGCATCCAAAGAAGAGCCAAAGCCAGAGGAGCCTATGCCAAAGGCAAAGGCTGAACCAAAGGCTAGTTCATCTGCAGATACCAAGCCTGCTCAGGCAGAGGTAGAGAGGCCAATGGAAACACCGAGAAATTACGGAGACCCATTGCCAGTCCTCCGATCAGTGACCCGTCCTTTTTAGGTGTCGTGTCGCTGTACTTCAAAGTACCTTGAAGTTTACGTTCGATTCAGGTTTCCTGAAATATCCTGAAATCGTTTACCTTTAGTTTCCTGAACCTTTAGACCACTTACTTGGTTTAAGTGTTCCCTTCTTCTTTCTCTTCCGCGGGTCCCTCTCGCTCAGGTCGCCGGGTCCAAAACTCCCGGTGCTGCAGTGGCCAAAGAGCTGCAGGCGCTTTTTATCATAGGGTGTTTCCGGTGGTGTCATAGGTTTTGTTTGACATGCATGTCAACATGTTCGTGGGGGTGGGGTGAGTCAATGAAGATACCATTCTTCTTTTCGGAGTTGATCTCCATGAATCATGAATCTCCCAGATTCAAGATCTACGGCCAACTGACAGCTGCTTGATTGGTTGAAAGAGACTCGAACAGTTCCTTTGAAGTAGCTAGAATCCCAAAGTTCTAAGATCTTGCGAACCAACCATGTTGTTCTATGTTATCATGTTCAGTGTTTTATTTTTGCGAACAGACCGATCCAATAGGTCAGAGTTGACAGGCCATGGTTGAGAAGTACACCTTTTTGAATCCGGAGACTGCGCGCTGTCGGCATCCCCTGCACTGACCCTTGTCTGGGTACTTTGTTGCTGACGCACCGAATCGCGGTGTCTCCATCTTGACGACTCATGGAATGTGTTTATGGCACGGCACCTGATCCTACAGATTGGTACAAGCTTACTCAGGAGCAGAACGCAGAACTTGTTTGTTTGCAAGTGTTTCACCGGAGCTTTATAATTTGTGACAGAATGGATTTCCCTCACCAAAATGGATTTCAAGCAACATGATATGGATTTTAAGGATGAAGCACGGCCAGTCGGCAGAGGCTGCCTGGCATCTACCTGACATCTACGGTACCCATCTCCTAAGAACTCGAGCATTGCTACGAACGGAGCGTTCGGACGCTACGAACGGGGCTCCTGGCCTTACTACTAGGAGCAAAGGGCATCGCTACGAACGGAGCAAAGGGCCTTACTACTAGGAACAAGAAGCTACTAGGGGCTCCTGGCATCGCTACTAGTAACAAGTGCCTTACTAGTAGTAATAAGAAGCTATTAGGAGCAAGGGCATCGCTACGAACGGAGCAAAGGACGCTACTAGGAGCGAAGACCACATCGTTCCTCCACCCCACCGAGCCCATCCGAGGTTGGGTGGGCCGATGTGCGCAGCTCCTGGGGGAGCAGAACGCGGAGAAAGTGGAGGAAGCGAAGGCGAGCGGAAGCGAAGACAGAGGAGACCCTTCGGCATGGCCGGAGGGTTGAACAGTTCAACATGGCACAGGTCAGGTTCCAGTCAGGTTCTAGCGTCGCACAACATGGAGGCTACATTTTTTTAATCAGTGTTTTGGTTCTTTTTGGAGACGAATTGATGAAGACACACCAGCACTTCGAGTGTCAACCAGTTCGCTTTGTGCCAATGATTTCTTTGATACATCACCATTCATGGATTTCAAACAACATACCCATTTGACATCATTTGACCAGGCATGCTTTCCTGATTTCTGCTGATCCTCCAGGCATGCCTGGCGCGTGTGAATACCGGGCTGATGACGGACGTGAGCCGCGTGTACACGGCCTTTCGTCGCTTCGATGTGGACGAGTCCAACCACTTGGATGACCAGGAGCTCTCGTGCCGCGACCGGGTGCGGAAGGATGGTGAGTGGATGGAAGTAATTAAATATAAAGGTGGGTGCCACTGGGTGGCTGAATGAAGAATTCAAAGAACAGCAGCGCTATATATGGGCTTTCTTGGCTTTCTTACTCTCAGACTTCTTTTGGATGCAGATTCAGCAAGCCTCGGAGTGGGTTCTGGCAATTTTGTGGCCTTGCAGGCTGCCACGAGGAAGCTTTGTGTCATTTTGGGCACGGGTGAAGACGATGGGTAACACAGCATTCGATGAGTACAGACTTCATCAAGTTGTCTTTTTCAAGGACAGCTGTTAAAACCTTGGGTTCAACAATGGTTCAACTATGAGGAAGCTGAGAAACGGCGGCACTGGTCAATATTGAACAAAAGCTGAAATGCTAAAGGAGCTAAAACATAGTATCCCGAACAAAAGAACAAAGAGAGTACAAATCAGGACACCGAACACTTGTACCGAGACCACTTTGCAGTCGCATTGTGTTTACCTTTGTTTTGCACATTCCCTCATTCCCTCCAAAGCCTTTTGACGTACTTCAGACATCTCCCTCCTGTTTCGTGCGCTACGCCTTCAAAACTTTGCCCAATTTTTTAACAACCTGATTTTGGCCTTCCATGCGAGCATGTCCGTTAACAGCAATCACATGGTGCGAATTTTACTGTTAGTTAATGTGCGGAAAGCTTGTTGCTTTGGTCCACCCATTGCGCCAATGACCCATGGCCGAGTTCAGTGAACAGACAAACAAATTGTGTCTTTGATGATTTGTTTGGCTGAGCTCATGGTTTGCGAATGTTTGCGAGGACATCTACATACCTTTTGTCCACTATTCACAAAACCTGATACCAGTAGGCCCTGGCCAAAGCTTGCCAAAGGAAACCCTTATGTCCCAACACCTCTGCAACATTTCCATGTTTTTTCTATGTTTTTCTTTTGCTTCTATACGTTTCAATTCCACCAACCTACTGGGCATCCATGCGGCGGAGCATTGGCCGGAAATGCTTGTGGAGATGAGGCGCTTGGCGGCGTATTTGGGCTTTGATGCCCCTTGGCGTTCGGATTCCATCGATTCCATAGATTGCAGATGATTGCAGGTCTGAATATGATATACCTGCAACCCTGTGGTTGGCCTTTGAGGGTCGGTAGTTCAACTTACCTGATCTAGGTCTCTGAACACAAACATCCATAACCGAAACAAAATCCGCAGAACAAACATGTTCGGGCAAAACCGCCTTGGAATATCAGAACGCTAGAAAACCATCCACAGACTCACATATAAGGCAATGACATGGCAATGACTCCAAAAAAATAGTTCACGCCGCAGATCAAAGCACACACACACACACTGAGGAAGTTCCAGTTATATATGTGTATATTATATATATATATTGTAAAATGGAAATTGAAGATGAAATGAGGACGGGGTTCCCAAACTGAAAGAAAACTATCTGTGGAAAGGTACCAAGGATCAAGGTACCTTACTCCGCCATGCTGATATGTCGTGACACCGTGTGCGACACGTACGCCACGCATGTTGGGCCACAAACCACCTGTGAGATCATTGAAGTCATGTGGTCTTATGGCCACGAACCATTTGTCTAGCAGTCTATAGGGTGCGACATATCGTGGTCAGGTCCATTGCCGGAACCAGCGGCAGAGCCGTTCCGCCGTGTCCGCTGAAGAGGTCTGAACTCGTCGGGTGTACCGCTCGGCATCCCCTTTCGAAGTTGAAGAGATGCCATTACAATTCTAATTAAATTCTTATTGTTACTGGTAGTAACAAGTGCATCGCTACTAGGAACAAGTGCCTTACTAGTAGTAACAATGTTTGCTATTAGAAACAAGAAGCATTAGAATCATGGCACCATGGATCACTTGTCCTAGTAGATTCCTTTGCTCCTAGTAGTAAGGCCCTTGTTACTAGTAGTAAGGCACTTGCTCCTAGTAGCGATGCACTTGTTCCTAGTAGCTTGTATCCCATGGCATCCCGGAGCAGAAACCGCAACTTCATGAAGGTTTTGATTTGTAGCTTTCCAACAGTAGAGGTAATACAACATATACACATATGATATTCATAATTCTGTAACGGCCTGAGACGGCGCATGGCCCCTTCCCCAAGCGTCCGCTCATGCCGTCCGATGCCGGTCGGGACTCCCAGGTGGATCCCATGGACTTGGACCACAACGACGATGGCGGCGCGACGGAGCAACGCGCGAGACGAGCCGGAGGGTCGAACGGTCTCTTTAACTAGAATTTTGTGTAATAGACAACCACCAGTTTTGGGGCTAGTTTTATCTATTTTGTGGTGAATTAGTAACTCTAATGTAGTACTGTAGGTGACCTTTCAAGCTTCTTGGTGAGATTTGGTGAGCTACCACTCCTGCCGTCTGGGGCCACAGCAGCAGAATCCCTGGCCATAGGCTAATACAAAGCTCAATGATGTGAGAATTCATTTGCCGTTCTCCTATGTTACAATCTTTGAAGGCCTGGCAATACCTGGAAGGCGCTTGAGATGCTGGGACTGACCTGTCATGACCACGAAGGCTGTAAAGAACAAACAAATTTGTGACACCTGACTTCTGTTGGACACCATTTACTGGAATCCCCTAGAGCCATGTCTCAATGGAGGGTGAGATTGTTGCTGGCCAGAAACCCAAGTGAATATGCTTTTACCTTTCTGTGGGCCCTGGTTTTCCGGCTATAAAATCCACTTAAAAGGCTCCTGCGACTGAGGGAGTTTGTCGCTAGATTCGCTGACACTCGTGGTAGGGACTGAGGTTCGTTGCTGAGAGGACCGGGTCCGGTGACCATGTCGCCCACAAGCTCCCCATGTCGCGCTTGGCCCGCTGCAGCCACACAGTAGTGCAACAACAGCACAATTAATATCACAAATCAAACATAATCAAACCATGTATATATATATATATATATTTATTGATCTATTTATTATGTATATATATATTATATAATACATTTTTTGCATCAGCATGAAACTATAATATATAAATGTGTGTGGTTTCTCTTTCAGGATTACCAGGAGAACCACGTGGGTTTCAACCGTCGGTTCCGCCGGTGTGGTTCGTCGGTCCTTCTCCGAGGCAAAATCAGTTTGACAGAGTTCCAAGACTTTGTGGGTCGCATGGGTGGAGCGCCTTTGTTTGCACTTGGCTGGATTCAACTGAAGATGGTGTTTTCCCCCCTTAAGATGGTGCGGTTCATGCTGATGAAGGGCACCGCGCTCACAAGGAGCGCTGGAACTCCGCCGGAAGGACTCGGGACCGACGCCCGAGGTCCAGACGCTCTTCGAGCAACGCCGGAAGCGCATTGCCGAGGGCCGCCGGGACGCCGCGAGCTTCGCGGGCGTGGCGGTCGGTGCGCGCGTGCAGGCGCATTACTGGGCGGCTCGGAGAATGGGGTGCAAGATGGGGTGTGGGGGCTGGCGGTGTGAAGTGGAATGTTCCACTATGTTCCACTGACTGTGATGTGGGTATAGGATTGGGTAGGTATGGCGATAGGTACAGTAAATTGATGTTTGATGATTTTTGCAACATTTAGCAGCTAGATGCAGCTAGCACCTATTGTAAGTAGGTTGCAGGTTGGGTTGCATGACGACTGCTTACCTCGCTTACAGGCCGTCAGAACCTCTCAGAATCTCCTTTCCAGTTTCTCTGGGATCATGTTTGGGTTTGTTTTGGGCCCACTGTGGTCCCTACTCCATCCGAATGCACCAAGCAAAGATCGTTGATTTTGGTTATGAGATGTTATGAGCTTGAAGGGTTAACGCACTCCGAATGTTTAATATGTTATAACCACTTTAAACTTTAAACGTTTCAAACCTAGAGTCAGAGGTTTCATCTCAATCCAACAAGCAGATCGGCCTCGTGACTGTCGAGGTCTGTTTGAGTGCGCCACACTTTCACCTGTCGGTCGTCCTTGATTTCTCCCCGTCATCGACGTCGCCCCCAGTGACACGGTGCGGCCGCCCGCTGAGGTGGGAGTGAAGCCCGACCGGAGGAAGTCAGAGCAACCGGCCGAAGCCATCGTGATGGGCGTCCACTACACCGGCGATCAGGAGCGAGAACGAGCCGTTGAAGGGTGAAATGGTCCTTTTCCTGGCGTTATGAAGAAATCAACATCTTCGGATTTCTGTGGGGAGGGAGTTGGCGAAGCCGTTTGGTGAATACACGAGTAGCCAGTGGCTGCTAGGTGGCTACAGTGCTTGTTGAGCTTGATTATATTTTGCCATGTTGATCACTTCTTTCCCATCCACATTTTGCCAACAAATCCTTGGCTGCAATTGTGTATCAGGAAGGTGAAAGCAATGCTGTGTACAGTGTTTGCTTTCTATATAATAGGAAGTTCCTTGTGTTTGATCATTAGTTGTTGTGATTGTCCATGTCAGTTTTTTGGCATCTCCTGGCACCTCGACTGGGTGCTGAGGACATCGCTTGTGCGCCGCAACTGGAAGTGCAACTGCAGTTTCTACGGCAGGATCCCCAAACGCTGCAGAGGACCAGATGATCATACATTGAACCATCACTGAATAGAATCATTGCACATGTCTTCAGAAACGACTGAGAAATCTGTGCACCTCGTTGTTGTCTCTTCCAAGGCATCCCTGGCCCCCAAAACCACCAGAAGAAGCCTCTCTCAATAATTACACCGGCATAGACCCCAGATAGCGCCTGTATAGGTTTAAAGGACACACCACGGACGGCTGTCACCGCACCACGCAACATCAGACCAGTCCACCAATATGCGCAACATCTATCTATCAGCTGAATGCGCCCGCTTTGCCCAACACAGACACAAAACTGCAAGAGGGCAAGGACCAGCTGACCAGCCAAAGCTGCCGGCACGACATTATGATCATTGCTGCACAACACGTTGTCACGCACAATATGACACCATGTCATCCACGAAAGGAAACGATACATGCCACAAGGCAATATATTATGCATCAATTTGTCGGACCAATATGAGAGGATATCGTCCCTCCCATGCCATGATCTCATCCCTGGCATGACATGATGTCATCCATGACATGATGTCAGCCCTTGCATGACACAATGTCATCCTGGGATGACATTCACCCCTGGCATGACATGATGTCGCCCCTGCCGTGCCTTGATGTCATCCCTGTCATGCCATGATGTCATCTCGCGCATGACATAATGTCATCCCTTGTGCTACATGATGTCATCCCTGGCATGACATGATGTCATCCCTGGCATTAC